AGGACGACGAGAGTGCGGTAGACGCACAACAAGTCTACTCTCAATATGCTCTAATTCACGCGTCCTTCACCGTCCCCATGCCATCTTGCCGTGGAGCATACGGTGGACCACGTCGGATACGACGGTCGAGATGTCACTATAGCCCTGTAACAAGAAAGGCTACGCATAACGGAATCTGACCTTTAGCGAATGGAACGTCCAGCCCACGCAATTCTAACTGAAGGCGTTTATAAACAGTAAAATCACTAGGCAGATTTTGACTGGCTCACAGTTAAGACATCATCTGTACGGAGACACGCGTGGAGGTTTTAAGGGCTTTCCCGTTGCACTAAGAGTGGGGCACCATGGGTCTGGATATGACTGCCTGACGAAGGCCAATACCGACGGGACGGAGGTCTAAACTTGCGAACTCCAAGACCCTACATCAATCAGCTACCGCCTGTGCCATTCTAACTCACGGACTAGTTTGTAGAGCACAAAACGTCAGATGAGTTCTGGAAGATATCGGATCGCATCTGCTTCTTCTCTATTCAGAGTTTTTTAAACGGCTCAAGTTAGAGAGGTTATGGAAACGTCGAATTATAGGCCGTATTAAATGCTGACACTCAAGGTTCTAACCATTTTCAATGCATTAACTTCAATGCAGTTACCGTCAAAGAGCAGCAACAGTAGCAGATAATCAGCACTACATACCTTCCAAGAAGAACGCTCGCACTCTGGATACCGACTGAAAATGCTTTAACTTGATCCGCATCGCAGCATACTGGTGCCGACTCTGTGCTGCTATCAGGAGAAGCATAGTCTGGACAAAGTTCTAACAGAGCTTGCAGTGTCTTGTCAGGTCCATCTTTTAGAGGTGTGGCGGACACATTCTTTGCACAGTATGTGCCCTCCGAATCTGGAGTTGGGCACACGCCGTACCAGATGCATTGGTCACAGAACGTGAGTGGCAGGAAACATGCAAGAACCAGGTACGCAAGACGCATGAGCTAAAAAAAGAGAAGCAATGTTAGATGCATGCAGGCAATTTAAAAGAACACGATGAGGTCGTGTGACATTGGGAGAAGTGCAGGAAAAATACGGAGAAAAGTTAAGGGTCAGGATGAGCCATGTATGGCAACAAGAGTATTATTATAAAAAGGATCAAAAAGACTGAAACAGTACACACTACGGGACCACGCAGAGGCATACCAGTGAAAACAGCAGTTTCCCCTCTCACTTGTAGTAAAAGTAGCGCAGCTAGTATCCAAACCTTCTCGGTATATGCGACTTTGTGATTACGAATTACAAGCGAACAACCCTACTAGGAGCCCTGCGGGACACTAGCCTTTTGGTGGGTAATAGCTCATGACGAAAGGAACGGTCTACTCATGGGTCTCCAAAAAGACTGAAACAGAAAACACTACAGGACCACGCAGAGGCATACCAGTGTATACAGCAGTTTCCCCCTCTCGCTTGTAGTAAAAGAAGCGCAGCTATTAGTGGTCGCTCGAAGATTTTCAGGTACATAAAGATATCCCAGTGACCTTATCCTCCGTTAAGCCACCTGGGTGTCAAAGTATGCCTTTGTTACTTCCAGAGATTTTCAGTAAACTTATAGCCACTGAAGACTTCGGGAACCCCTCCCAACGGAATCGTTGTTAATGTGTGATTTTTCAAATAAAGTCTGTCGTGTTGTTAATAGTGATACTGTTGAATATACGGCAAACCATACCAAAAGGTCGGTCACCGTATTTGAAACTCATATGGTTGTCCATCCAAGACCCGTTAGGACGTTCTGTAATTACTGAATGCTAAACTGATCGCGTAACCACGTCCAGCAGTGGTTTTGGATATTGTGTGTTCCCCTCATTAATGCCGACGAGCAATGTTTTATGTGGCTGCAAATTGATACTTTGTGTCTTTGGAGAATATTAACTTAAGTAATCGTGAGTCTTTTATAACAATATCAAACGAACGAGATAACTATAGTTGCAGTGGAGATCGAGAAATCCCTCCGGCAGATAGGCGTAAAAACTTGGGTTTTATCAGATGAAAGACACCTTGGCACGACGTAACCTTTCTATAAGAATTTAGAGGACTATGAAATCAGAGAAATAAAGTATTCACAATGATGCAGAAAAAATGTAGGCAAAGGACAGTTGTAAGACAGAATAAAGACCCTAGTCTTAAAAAGGCATGCGACAAGTGACACTTGTCTGCTGCTGGATGCTACGGCTGCATTCAAAAATGTGTTGCGGTGTGGAGGTGGAATCGGCTCACCCACGTTCAGTCGACTAGATATAGCTGGAAGAAAAAATGGACTGAAAAAGCGACCTCCATAGAATAGACCTCAAACGTTGGTGACACTTGGAAACCACCAAATTATCCGCTAAATCAGTGGTAGGCCCTCTGCACTGACTGGCTCTGTACGCGGGATGAATGACGGCCGTATTGCGGGTGATTTGGCCAAGGTCAAGCACTGAGATGAGCACTTCGAGCACCTCCTCAACAATGACCCCAAGCCCAGCAACCCTTCGTTCTCATCTACAGCGAAGTTGCCCCCTCTCCAACCTTTACAGTGTCATTAAACCCTCATTCTCTGGAGGAGGAATAATCATGTCATACAAAGTGTACGAAACAAGTCACCCGATAAGGACAGTTTACCTGCTGAAATCTGCAAATTTCGCGTGGACAATCTAATACTTTGGCCGCACCCGGAGATTTAACAAGCATTGAGAGACTATGTTGCTCCTGGTGACTGTGGTTCGGTCATCACTGGACTTCTCAAAGGACGAGATACCATGGTATAAGACTTGTCGACGTTGTTGCGGTGATACTTTTTGTCGTTCTCGAGCGATTCTAGGTTGCGTTTGACGCTAAGATGAGGTCCAGCCAAGCCGGATTCCATACTAGGCGTGGACGTGCGGGTCAAATATTAATACTGAGGTCAATTTTTGAATTCTGCCATAGCTGTCAACAAAAGACGGCCGTTATTTTCGTGGATTTTGTCGCTGCGTTCGATACCATCCAGCACGAAGACTTGTGGTTGATAATGCCGCCAGATGGCCTACTACCGCTCCTTCCCTGCGAGAGTTCTGATCAATAAAAATCTTTCCCAACAGTCTGGAATTCGGTCTCGCATTCGAAGTATTTGTATCCAGTTGCTTATTCTGTTCAACTACGCTATTGATTTGGATCGCGGAAACGCCTTATATTGGAATATTACACTCTTTATTTTGTACCATGACGCCAGTTGACTGACCTTGGCTATGCCGATAATATGGCCTTACTATTTTCAAGCTTTGGTGACCTGCAGTTTATGGCATCCCGATTGAATGAGGTCGTTAAATTGGTCGGCTTATGCATAGACGCTGGGCAGACCAAAGTGCGTTCAAGCTGAATACCCAACGAGATGAAGGCACCTCTCGAGATTGATGAATGCCAACTTGAAGAAGCAGGCAGTTTCAAGTTACCTTGGGCGAGCCTGCTTTCAAAGGAACGGAGAAAGGACGACATTTTCTCCCGAATCGACGCTGCGCTCTGAGTGTTCTGAAGCCTTAGAAAGGACCTATGGATCCGATGCGAAATCCCAACTGCAGCAAAAATGCGCGTACTTCTATTCGGTCTTTCCTTCTCTATGGTTGTCAAGGCTGAATTATGCGCATGGTAGGCGAGCAAAAATTGAAGGTATTTGACGACTACTGCTTGAGAGCCATCCACTGAGTCAAGTACACCAACTTCTTACCTCGGGGGACAGTCCGCACTCGCTGTTACAACATCGCAAGAATATTCCAAGCAATCCAAGAAAGGCGACTGAGGTGGTTCAGACACATTATTTGTCATCTACCTCACTCCGGCACCCTTAACTACTTTGATGTTTCGAAAAGGGGATCAGCTCAAAACCGGACCCGACAGAGTTCATGAAGACATGAAAATTGTTCTTCTACTTTCGGTATTCTGCCCTCGTCGTTGGCGAGGAGAATGGGTTGAACTGTCCGGATCTGCAGCCGCGGATCGTCGCGCGTGTGACATCATGGAAGCCGGCTAGATCAAACATTATCGAAACCTTATCAGGTAGAGGTAAGTAAGCTGCCGACATTCCAAACATTTCTATGGAAATTGCAACCTCGACCTAGTAATGTTGCTTCCATCTCTATTTGTATTTGTCTTGGTTTTTTCGAACAAGTGGAAGAAATCATCATTGTGACAAATAGCTCCAGCTGTCTGAGCAGACTACTGCCAGGTTCTTTCGCTGATTCCGCTATTGCTGCGCCGCTGGGTGAATCCAAGAATTTTACCAGCTGCTTCGTTCACTGTCAATTTAAATGGCGATCATATGTTACCACCTTCTTTTATTCGAATTTTAGAAAGAGGGCTGGATTCTTTGCACAGGACCTTGGCTGTAGTAAGTTTCTGTAGATTTGCGACATCAGGGCAACTTCCTTGTGCCAAGTAGGCTGCGACTAAGAGGCGAGGCTTAGCTATATGTTTAATAGAGAAAGTTGGACTCGCGGACGTTGCCAGTTTCAGCACCGCTCGTCGTTCTGATAACATAAACTAAAATTTTAACTGATTAGCACAGAGTCAGTCAGAACGACCGTACGGCTATCTTTTAAATGCCAGGCAAGCAGAGGAAGAAATCAAGTTTAAGTGATAACTGATGAGTTCTTGTCAGAAAAATTTAACAGACTCTAATCGTTGTCGCATCGAGGGCCAAGCGTAAAGCTGATAATTAGGTGGCTGTTTGAAGATTCCGCGTATTGACTAACCCGTGCCGGGTAAGCCAAGGTAGGACTTTGCAAGCGGCCGAAATGCTCGTGAAGGGTAACTGTCAAACAAATTAGCCAGCTGGCCATGTTGAGCTAAAATGCAAGTTCACAGACAGCTGTGCAGACATCGACACGATGCACTCAATCGAGCGGGGGATGTTGGCTCAGCCAATAAGAGTATTGAATGCAAATCAACTATGCATTGCTGCAGCGTCGACATAATAAAGATCTGGCTTTACTATCAGGAACAATATCGACTCGATAATCGATAATCGATAATCGGCTTGGTGCCTGCATTTTTATTAATATAAGGAAATGTTTTGACAAGTAATGAGTGATTCAAAATGGCAAATGACCTGCGATCACATCAGCGCAAAAATTACTACTGTGTGAACAGATGCCAACTAGAAAAGGACAAAAATGTGAGAGGTTAGCTGCAATAGTTGGACAGAATCCATCGCGCCACTAGCCAGGGCGCGGTGCATTCTACATAAAAAATATAACTTGCAATTAATATTTTGTTTAATGTAATGGCTATATTGAGACGACATAGACTTTAGGCTGACTTGCTGTAGGGTTAACAAACAGTCCTAAAATATTTCGGATTTACGTCGCAAAAAATCAGACCACCTTACGACAACCAAAACACTAAAGATGACCAGAACTCCGGTGCAGTTAAACATTGACGCAATGGTTACGGTGTATAATATTATAACATCACATGACCATTTCTAGCAAAAGATGAATAACACATTATAAATTTTATTTCACTAAATTTTTTTTACCTCATTTGAAGTTGGTATCCGTACTACGGTAACGCAACACTAAAGAAGCGTTATAGAAATTTCTTATCTGATATAACCATCCTGTTTACTCTTCCCTACCTAAAGACAGTGTAAACCCCGGGACCCATTCCCGACAAAGGTACCGAGAACAACGTTGGATCGGACGACGAAACCATGCCGATTTTACCGTGGCGTGAGTTGCTGGAATTTCTGCCTATCACCTCTCTTTTTGTCGTTGGTTACCTTCCCGTACATTTGATGCCTTATTACTTCCTCCTTTCTCTATCCTAATAAAGCTTCTACCGGTTTTAAGGACTTTTGGCTTGAAGATATACGTTTCTCAGGACTTCAAGACATTGTCATATTAAAGGTCCACATGCGCAAGGATAACGGGTAATGCTTTGGTCACGAAAATATCTCGCTGCTAAGCGTTAACTTGACGAACTTGCATGCATATACTATTTTAGGATTGTTCACATATTTAAGAGAAGACAAGCTCACTAAAAGGCACATCGAGCCGTCTCACGCTCTATTTGTCAGGAACACATCATCACTAGAGCAAGTGCACCACCATTCGAGTCGGCAAATCCGGTTCTTCAAACGGCAC